AGAAAAACAACTTGGCTGGATTTCTTTAATGGCAGAAAATAAGCTTTGTTATTCCTAAAGAACTCTGCAGAAGAATAGTCTGCAGTGAATACCTAGTGAACGAACTACTAAGTCATGTGTGCCCATTTATCTTTTTGGATTCCTATTGTGTTACCTAAGGACTGCCTTTTTATATCAAGCAGTCAGTGTTGTGATAGAAATTGCACACAGACAGCTTCAGATGTCTCCCCTACCCCTGCCAGCCACAGAGAGAAAAGGAAGACCCTTCCCCAGTACAGCTCCCTTTTAGGGTTTAAGAGAGATGGAGTCAGCCTTCTGTCCCTTGTATTCAGTTGTCCATTCCTGTGTTCTGAGTCCTATCTCAGCCATCCTGCTGTGGCTATTTGTGATGTTACAAGGATAGTTGTGAATTCTGTCACATCTGGAGTCTCTCCAGTACTTGGGCTCTACAGCACTAGGTAAATACAGTAGCTTTGGACTAAGGAAATGGCTAATTTTTCTTTTGAATATTTGCTCACAATATGGCAGATACTGTCCTAAAAATATTTTATCTATGCTCTCTTTTCATCATTCCATATCCTTGAAGTGAGTGTTTGTTCCAATTTATAGATAAAGAAACAGAGTCAGTCATTCAGATATGTTTATTCAGCATTATTACAAAAAGGAAAACTGTTGCTTATCTTCATAGTAAGGCTTTTTGGCATCCTGTAACTTTCAGACTATACCTCCCTGGCTGCATTTGACCTAATATATCTGTCCCCAACTGTTCAGTGTTTGAGCCCAGAGGCTCTGAGTCCTGGCCCAGGACTCTTTGTCCAGAAGCATGCTGTAACCTTCCTCTTCATCTGACCTGTAGATCTATGTTGCAGACTTGGACCTCAGTCTGATGTGAGATTTGGAATCTTGGGGACATTGAGCAGCTATTGAGAAGTGTTACAGTGTGTCTTATTTGATAGCTAAGTCCATGTAAATACCAACAAACACTGTATTAGTTACTTTTGCTTCACTGTAACAAAATACCCGAGACAAGAAGCAACTTAGGGGCAGAAAGGTTTATTTGGGCCCATAGTTTTACAAGGCTCGGTCTAGCATGCATGGAAGCACAGTGGAACAGCTTAGATCATGGTAGTGAGCACACGAGGCAGAGGTTGTTATATCATGGACCAGGAGGCAGAGAAAGAGAGGTAAAATCTGAGGCCTTGAAATACACTTTTCCAAGTTCTACTTCAAGAGACATTCTCCAAGCAGATGTGCTCATTGCCTCAGCTTCCCAAGCAAACACCAGCAACTGTGTGTTCAAAACAGGAGCCTACAGAAGAGGCTTCTCATTCAAACCACAGCAAATGCCCAGTTTATTCTCTTCTCCTTTGTTAACATCTACTGTAGGGAGATATCCCAGGTACCTGTAGATATCCCAGGTACCAAATGGGTGTGGTCACAGGTAACAGCAGGCAGGTCTCTTTCGGTTCCAGTGGGGTCTCGGAAGGCTGCAGAGGCTAACCTGGGTTATCAGCTTCTCTTGTGAGTAATTTCCCATAATAAATAACCAACTATATCCCTTATTCAGCGTGTGGTTCAATTTCCTTTTCAGTCTACAATCTGTCCTTGGCAGCTTTGGAGGGAAAGTTAGGTCTCTGATCAAAGAGTCAACTCCTACAAATTCATCTGCCATCTTGATTCAATTTTTTGTCTTTTGAATGATATGTTCAGGGTTTGTGGAGATGCTCATGGAAGCATCTTGTTTTACATGGGATAAAATTGGAGAGAGCATTTCTTTACACGCCTGCTTATGTAAATGTAGGGATTCTGTTGTATGGTACACATTCTCAGCCATGGATGTTGGAGGTCTGCCCTTATCAGTATGCAGACTCACCTCATTTTGAATGACTGTTGAGTACTCCATTGTGTTCGAATGCTATAGTTTAATGACACTTAGATTGTCTAGTTTTATTCTGTTCCAGTTCTCCACTAAGCTTCCCTAGAAATACCCTTTTGTTTTTGTAGGCCTGTCAGGTACTGTAAGAGACTCACTGATAAAATAGAATGTGTATCTTTAGCATTTTCTACTTCTGCAAAATTGTCCTCTAAAGTGATTACACTAATTTATATTTCCCCTAATGGTGTATGGGAATGTCCTTTTCTCTGTATTATTATCAACAATGAATATGACAGCAATTTGAGTTTGTGAATCTGATGGTGAAGATAGGATCAAATTTCAGTATATGTCTTCAGTAGCTGCCATGTCTAAAATTTCTTTCAATAATTATTCAGTGAACATATACTGTGTCTCCTTATTGGACTGGGAAGTGGTCCTTGTCTTGTAAAAGTCATGATAGTAAAATATTTTAGAAGATGCTCAAAGCTGTCAGTGATAGAAGATATGGGTCTTTTGTTCTCTACTGGTGGGAAGGCACTGTCTCCTAAAGCAGGGGCAATGATTGCCCCTGCCCACATGGATGTGTCTGCCCACGCCCACATGGATGTGACTGCCCACGCCCATATGGATGTGTCTGCCCATGCCCACATGATGTGTCTGCCCAAGCCCACATAGATGTGTCTGCCCAAGCCCACATGGATGGTGTCTACCCATGCACCATGGGCAGTGTCCACCCCTTCTCACACAGATGGTGTCTACCTGTGTTCACTCTGGGTTCTGCTTCTTCCTTTCCAAACTTGGCAACTCTCCCCTTCTGCAGCACTTGCCTCAGTTTCCTTGTAGTGAGCAGATGGCTGTAGGAGAAATGCTTTTCTAGTAGTTTCCATCTTTCTCCTGGACCTGGCTTGCTGTTGGGTGCTGGTATTGCAGTCAGAAGCAAGCACTCATACTCACCCACTATTGGCATCTTTCCCAAAAGGCCACCAGGCATGTGTAGGATTGTTCAGGCAGAGTGTCCCCAAGAGCCAATTCATTGTTTTAAGCTTCTCCTCCAGCAGAGATTGTCAGGGAGGTTATTTCACCCGAGGCACCCAAATTAGTTTATAGGTGTGTTAGATCAAGAAATGAATACAGCAGCATTAGTCATTTGAGACTATGTTCTTCCTGTGACCATAAACTAAGGGAATAAGGTACAACCTGTAAGTTGAAATACCTACATGCTAGATATTAAATAAAATAGGGGTCCCAAATATACAAATAATGGGTGAATAAATCCTGGTAGATTTGTGAGAATAAGGTTGTGCACCGAGGCCAGGGGTCAACCATAAGTGTCTTCCTCAGTTGCTCTCTTCCTTGTTTTTTGTTTTGTTTTTAGACAGTCTCTGTGTAGTGTTCTCTCTCTCTCTCTCCCTCTCTCTCTCTCTCTCTCTCTGTGTGTGTGTGTGTGTGTGTGTGTGTGTGTGTGTGTGTGTGTCTGTGCGCGCGCGCGCGCGTCTGTCTGTCTGTCTGTCTGTCTGTCTCCTCTCCCTCTGTCTCTCTCCCTCCTTTAAATCTGGAGCTGTTGTATTTGGATAGCTTGGCTAGCCAGTAATCTCCAGAGATCCTCCTGCCTCTACCTCCCCATTTCTGGGTATGTGTTACAAAGACTGGCTTTTTCTGTGGGTTCTAGACATCAAACTCAGATCCTTGTAGTTGTAAGGCAAACACTTTACCAACTGAACCAGCTCCCTAGCCCCTAAACTTGGTTTTCTAAATGGAGGCAGCTTTAGATATTTTAACTCTTTGTTTAGCTAAGTATGAGGAAGATCTTGAGTTCCTTAAGAATTAAAATTTCCCTGAAGCTACCCAAGCGATGATCTTAGAGTTGTCCATGATCAATACATTGACCCGAGCCTGTGGGTATTTTTTTTTTTTTTACCTCGGGACAAGAGCACGGTTCCAGGTTGTTCAACAGCAGTCTGCTCTCCTGGCCAGTGCCCACTGAGGCCTAACTGACAGCTGTCCTTTTCACAGACACCAACAGGCTCCTGAGAGTGTGTTAACGGTAAAATGGGGTGTAGTTCTTGCCATTTGCTCTTGTTGCTTCATTGGCAATAGGTCTTAGAGTGTATGTTCTTACTTTTTCTTCTCCTAGTGCATACTTGATATTTGTTATCTTTGTATGTAGCCTGCACCAAGTCTAAATCTTTTTCTTTAGGCTAAAAGGGGAATTGTAGTGAGAGATCCAACTACACACCTGTGACCTGACCATGTGTGGTCACAGGTATGTATGTGAGGTGTGGGATTTGGTCTGGGGTCTGGGACAGGCTTGGTCTCTCTTGGTTCCTGTCAGGTCATAGAGAGAAGCTGGGCATTGATCCTCGGAGCCAGAACTTGTGGTTTATCAGTTTCTCATGTAAGTGACTTCTCCCCAATAAAATTAACCTATATCTATCCCAGTCCCATGTATCTTAATCTTTACATCCACAAGGAGGGAAAAGCCAATCCCCATTAAGAGGACTGGAGCAGGTTGGTAGTTGCTAGGCAAGCTAAAGTAATTCAGTGTCCTTGCCAAATGCCTGCCTTGCAAATAGGGAAACTTTCATGGAAGGGGAGTGAGATGGGGGTGCTTGTTGGTTGCCATAGGAATGTTTCCATGATTGGAACAAGGCCACAGAGTGGGGAGAGTAAGCCTGCAGCATCCATGGCTCCTTCTGCTTGGGAATGGAAACACACTGTGGGTGGTGGAGCCGAGGTAAGCCCAGGGAGGAAGGAGCAAAAGCCCCTGAAGGGGTGAGGGGGGGTAAAGGGGTAAGGACAGAGCATCCTGTGATGACCTGCAAGACTTCGGCAGGTGAAGCCCCAGATGCTATGTGTATTCAAAAATGGGAGAAGTGTGATCGTTGCAGCTACCCTGAAGACCTGATAGCTTGTAGGAGAATTTACAATCTGGTTTTAAGTCAGGGAGAATTCCAATTAGACTCTGGGGGAAAAAAAAACAGATTTAAAATAGATAGGAACTTAAAATAATGCAAGTCACTGAGAAAGACCACTTAGTCTGAAGGTAGGTATTTGGTATTTATGTAAATATTATGCCAGCTTATGTCTTCATTTTAGTTCATGAGGCAACAAAGGTGGTAATTAAAGATTTATTATTAACGAAATATCCTGTATTTATCCAATTCAGATTCATAGGGAGAAAAAAGCACAATGGGCCAAACTGTGCTCCTGATAGGAAGCCTTGAACAACCCTCTGGTGGGGCTTTTAGGATCAGGCACCCTGTCACAGGGTGGCACTTTGGGGGAGGACAGATTTTGAGTTTGTGCTGAAATAAGTGGCCATTAGCAGCTGTTGAATGTGCTTGTTGGCGTCTCTGGGATGAGTCAGTTTCTAGCTCTGAGGTGGGAGGTGATAGCTTCCTTGCTAGCTGGAATGGTGTAAACTCGGATGTTCTTTTCACTTAGATATGACTCATAGGGGAAACACAGAAGCTCCAAGCTGCAGGCAGTGGGGATGAGTGGCTTCACTGTGGCTGCAGACAGTGGTAACAGTAGTGACTAGTTGCTTTGCCATGGCTACGGACAGTGGTGATAAGTGGCTTTGCTGTCCCTTGATAGGGTTGGTGAGTAAGGCTTCCAGTCTTTTAGTTCACAATCTTCAGTGGAGTTTTCTTATTGTCATGAGGTTTTCCTTGTACATAGGAAGTACGTGTGGATTTGTTATTGTTTGTCATGTATTTGATTCATTTTCAGATGTTCAGAGGACATTTAAAACTTCTTTAAAATATGAATAGAGATAGGATTGGTATGATTCATCACTGTTTCTCTGTGTGTTTTTGAATAGAACCTAGGACCTTGTATGCCTAGGCAAATGCTCTACCACATTTAAATTTGTTTGTTTTAAAACATGGTTTCACTAAGTTGTATATGCTGGCCTTGAACTCACTTTGTAGACCAGACTATCTTCATATCCCCCTGCATTAACCTCTCCAGTTGATAACAGGCCTATGAGACAAGACCCACCTTTTAATGTGATTTTTGTTGGTTGGTTGGTTGGTTTTGATTGGAAGAATGGATCATGTAAAGGAAAACTGAATATTTTTATTGTCAAATCTTTGTATTCTAGTGTTGCATACATTCTTAAGGAGTCTTAAGTCACTGTTGTTTGGGGGCAGAGTCAGTTTCTCTGCTCTGAACCAACAATGTTTTTGCAACTTTAGAATTACTAAGAGCTGGCAGATTGATCCGAATCCACAAATTGGGAGCACACTTGTAGACTCCCAAACTTTTATTTACTGATTTGAGTGTCATCCAATAAGAAAGACTGTCACCAAGCTCTTCAGATGAAGTACACTTGTATGATTCTGACAAAGATGCCAAAACACACACCAATTGTAATCTCTTAAAGAATGGTTTTTCTATCAACATCTCCTAACATCTAAAGCAGCGAAAATCTAGAACAGTGGGAATCTACAGCAATGATGTCAAATAAAACATAAGAAGAACCTCAAATATGAGCCTCAAAGAGTCCATTCTAAATGTAAATTTAGTTTTAAGTAGGATTCAATTTCATGATATATAACATGAAATCAATCTCCACCATCACACTAAGGAGCATCTAAGTCAATGGAGAGGCATGCTGTCCACTCATCCTGGTTCCCATGGCTCAGACTGGGAAACACACGAAGGGTATCTGCAAGAGGGAGAATCCCACTTTCTAAGTGTTGGTGTATAGAGTTTACACTCTTAAGAGGAAATTCCCATCAAACACAGGCCTGTCAGAGCTATCTGCCCGGTGACCCAACTCTCTCCACCCTTGCTCCCAAATCATTGTCTTCACTGCAGATAAGAACATGCCAGCCTTGGGTTGCCTCCCCCATCCTTGGCTCGGCTGCCTCCTTTCCATTATCTCAGTATGCTTCCTGGTTGGACAACCCCTTTATCTTGCTCATTGTTTCAGTCCCCACAGCTGTTGGCCATTTCTTTCTCACCTAACTTCAGTAGTCAACTATTCAAATCCCAGTGTGGTGCCTAATTAAAGTCATGTCTATCACAGTCTGTGTTGATTTAGGTGGCTTTAAATAAGATAGACTTAAATAAGATAGAATGTTTGCCTCCTTTATCCCTTGCCTTAGGTTTGTATGGTGCATAGGCCTACAGACCTTGCTTTGGATAGAGCAGAGTTATTTAGAATGGTCAGTCTATGATCACACAGTCTGAAGCCTAAAGAACACAGGTGGTCTCTAGACAGGAGGAATTGCAAAGTGCTTACTCCTGGTGGGTGGTTAAGCACTGACTTACCCACAGCCTTGACAGAATTTTTGACATGCATTTTGCTTGACTCTCACCCATTTGTCATAGAATATAATAGTGACCCTGCTCATTAGCAGGCTATAGAAGGCAGGAGCCTGTCACTTCCTGTTGGGAGATGTCCACTTTCCAGGGATAGAATCCACCAGAATATTAATAAAATTCATCTTCTGTGTCTTAGAATGTTTCAGGTGAAAGTCATTGGCAGAGCTTCTTCGGATTTATAGAGCAAAGGCCTTGGCTTCTGGGTGGGCTCTTGTCCAAGACAATAACCAGTCCTCCCTTGGCAAGGAAGCTAGCTAGATTTGAAACTTGGAGATAAGCCTGGGACCCCTTGAGCCCTTCTAAGTTAATCAGAATAGGAATACATGTTGTACCCGGTTCACATTGCCATCAGAAGGCTGAGGCTCGTGGGATGTGTACCAGAGAAAACTTTTAAAGCCAGTCCCAAGTTCACTCACCAAAAGGGTCACACGTGACAGCAGCAAAGCTGGAGAATTGCTCATTTCTTACCAGCTAAGTCAGAGCTTTGGGCTGGGTGGCCTTGCTGTCTTTTGGTCACATCAAATGAAGGCCTGCAAAGCCTGGACTGAGTTTGAATGGAAGAATGGTATTCAAATGGGTCACTGATCTCTGTTCTGTCTGTACAGCTTTCATTTTGTCTGCTTGGACAAATCTTTAAAGCATAGGCTTTCTGAGACTTTCCCCTCTCTAAGTAGTCAGAAGTTGAGCTCGGTTACTTCTACAGCATAAAGGCCTCCAGTAGCCTGATCCATGATAGTAACCCAAGTTTAATGAATGGTTCATACATACAGTCCTAGTATGTGACAGTCTGAGGCAGAGGGATCACCATGAGTTCCAAGTCAGCCAGGACTGCAGACTGAGAACCTGTCTCAAGAAGGAATGTAAGAGCAAGACAATGAGGAGGAATGCTATGAGATGTTCTCTGAACATCTGCTATGACATGGTTGTTGCCTGTATGAACTCAATGGCTGTGGGTAGCTGCAGCTGGAATGGGGAGGAAGTTCCAGAGGTCCTGCCCCTAGCTGAGGAGGTTTTGGTGTTGCTGGCAGCTGCAAGAGGGAGGGTTGCTTTCCCTTAGGAGTGTGGCAACTGGTACCAAGTTTGAACTAGGTTTCTGGGTTCCCCTGTTCCCCTGTGGATGACCCTATACCCATGAGCATAAAAAAAGCTCTATCTGAACCCAGTGAGCTAATAAATAAATAAGGACATGAAGTTGGGACAGGGATATAACAGGAGCTCCAGAAGTGAGTTGGGGGGGGGGATGAGGGTTAGGCTTGATAAGGTACATTGTACACATATCTGTAATTTCCAAAGAATAAGAATTAGAAAGATAAGTTAAATGATAGCAAAGGGGGGAGCTATTACTGGACTACCATGTTAAATTGGATCATTTACAATAAACAGAGCAAAAGGGTCCCATAGCTATTCTTGTGGAAATTTCCATTGTAGTTTGGAGCCCTCTTCCAGGTACTGGAGCATCACTCACACAGAAGGAGAGGGCGTGGTTTTCCTATTCCGGAAAGCCGAAATAGGAAATACTATCTGAGATAAATCCTGGGTCTTCATGTTTTTTCTAGTTAAAAGCTTGGCTGGGGTCCCAAGGAAACATGTTGATTGCCTGTAACGTAGCAGGCATGTTAGATATTTGATATACAGTGGTCTGTTTATTGGCCTGTTTATTTCTGTAACCACCCAGCAAGATAAATAGCCATTATTTCCATTTTAGAGATGAATTGAAGCACTCAGCACTTTGCCTAGGGTCACACAGCAAGACAGTGTGCCAGGGTTCCTGTTTAGCTGTAATCTGGTTACTTTCCACTAGTGCACAATAACAGATGGCAATGTAAGCCCAGTGGCTATGCTGGATTTCATTGAATCTGAGGACTCCAATCTCAAACTGTAGCTGCCAATGTAGATGGAAACAAAAAGTAGATGCATAGCTGAGTCCATCTCACTGAGAAGCACAGGTTGTCAGCAAGTCTCTGAAACAATTAAAATCAAAAGCATTGGAGAGACTGGTTTTGCAAATAATAGATTCATTCACATGTCCACCAATTAGCATTGTCAGTGGCAAAAGGCAGACAAGTCCTAAATTGAATTTAACTTTTGTTTCTTTTGGGTTAAAATATAGAGCCTTTATCTAGGGTTTTAGGTAACATTGCTATTTAGTTGTTCTAAGTTCCTCATCTTTTGGGCAGATGAGGGCATATGTGTGCATTCAGTGTCCTTTCCCGAGTCATGGCAACTCCCTGTTATCACTATCTAGTGATTTGTTACAAACCACTCTGACACTAAGGTGAGTTCAGTGGGGACAGCTCACCTCTGCTCTACTGTGATCCTTTGGGTTGAATGAGCAGCCAATGGCAGGTATGGTGTGAAGTTAACCCACTGTGTGTGTGTGTGTGTGTGTGTGTGTGTGTGCGACACAAAGAAAAAAAAAAAGAGAGAGAGAGAGAGAGAGAGAGAGAGAGAGAGAGAGAGAGAGAGAGAGAGAGAGAGAGAGAGAGAAGGGGGAAGAGAGAGAGCAGCCTGGGCTGGGACCAGAGTAGCTGGGCTTCCTTGTGATCTCTGGAGGAACAGCTTCAGGGTAACCCAGCTCCTTCCTACACCAGCCTAGCACACAGCCCTGGAGGAAGAGAGCCAGGCAGGGGCATTGCCATCTTTTGTAACCAAATTATCCAGCATCGCTCCTCTGTGCTCTGTTCCCTGAGGCTATCACAAAGCCCACTCAGGTACAAGAGAGTGGAAGTGGGTTCCGCACCTTTATAGAGCAGCTCAGAGTGTCCGGAAAAGCCTTACCATAGCTATTTTTGGAAATTACAGACTGCCACAGGGAGAAAGCAGGCTGTGGGCTATATGCAGGAGACCAGATGCCACCCTGGGCCTTTCTCTCCCACTCAAGGGAGCATATTGGCATGTAAATGGATCTTATTTATTCCACTATAATTTACGCTTTTCAGAAAAGTGAGTCGTCTGCAAATTTTTGGCAATCTGTTTACTGTTGTAACCAAGTGACTTGTGAAGCACCCCCAGATTACGAGGTGAAGAACTGAGGCCTATGTCGAACTTTTACCTCCTTTGTGAGCTGTTTCCCGGTTAACATTTTTATGGACTGCAGTCAGGTTTCCTATTAGCTACCTGGTGTGTGTATGGAGGGGGGTGGGGATGGATAACTGATGGTTACATAAACAGCTTAGCACAGGAACCTTTCCATTTAAAACTAAAACATGATGACGGTTGCTCAACCTGAATGCTGCATGCTCCCAAGAGCTGGCTTCCATCTTTCATT